ATATATTAATATATATATATATTATTAATATAATTTATATAATTTATATTAATTATATATTAATTATTTAATTTTAATAGCCCGATCGACATATATCTACCACATGCAACCGATGTAACATTCCGTTGATTCCGTTGTACCGTTCCGGCCATAGTTCCGATGGTTCCGATACAGCAGAGAAACTTCTTACGGAACAAAATGCTAGTGAACTTATTTCTAGTAAGAAATCCGTTCCGTCGTTCCGATTCCGTGTACATGTGACGGCACCCTTAGTCCATCGGAATTGACCAATCGCATTTGTCATTTTGTTTGAAGCAACAAAATGACAAATGCGATTGGTCAATTCTGATGGAATAACTGGCCAGTTAAGTTAACTGAGCTTGGTGACACTGGCCCTAATAATTCCATTGGTCAATTGAATCAACTCCTAGTGAATTTGTTCACGTTGGTAATTTTTATCTCATTTCAAGGTACAGGCTGTGTTCCATAATTCACTTGTGCCAGTGCTGACAATAGCTGCGTTCAGCAGACTCAACAGTTTTGCAACCGTTTTATGATTGTCTGTTGAGATAGGACCATTCTTCTAGATCTAAAAGTATGATCCAATCAGCGCGAAGGAAACTTCCAACAGTTGCAAAACAAACGTTCTGCTGAACGCAGCCATTGGCTGCGTTCAGCAGAGAAAACTAATCAGTTAGGGTAAAATCACACGGTGCGGAAGAGGACTGCGGAATAGAGAATGCGTCATTGAAGTAACCAATCACCGCTATTCGGAATGGCTCTGATTGGTTGCTTCAATGACGCATTCTCTATTCCGCAGTCCTTTTCCGCACCGTGTGATTTCATCCTTAGCGCTTAGTGATTCTTTAATACGATTGGTTCCTACACTTAGATTTTGCGAAGAACTAACGGCAAGAACCAATCATATTAAAGAATTACTAAGCGCTTACTGATTAATTTTCTTTGCTGAACGCAGCCAAAGTATAGTATACGTAACGTAAATTGTAGATTTTCAGCGCTGGCAGTGAAAATTGAAACACAGCCACGAGCCACGCTCGATATCCAGAATGATTCGAAGGTTTGTTCGTGTCACATGCTCCAACATGTTCCAATATGCTTCTACCATAGCTCCTACTCATTCCAACGCGCTTGGTAGAGTGAAAAGGAGCTATGATAGTCGCAGGAACATTGGAGTATGTTGGAGTTTGCGACGCGAACAAACCTCGAGAAATTTTAATAATGCACATATTTCCTGAAAAAGCGGAAGACAAATATTATTATAGATAAATAATTAATTAAAAATTGATTCTACAATTAGAATCAAGATAATTTTTAATAATATATATGTATAATGAATGGGTGCATTCAGTACTATAACCGCTCACTGAGCGCTCAATGAGCGCTTGCATCTGATTGGCATATTCCGTTAGAACTAAAAATATAGACCAAACAGATTCAAGAGCTCACTGAGCACTCACGGATCCGCTCCGCAACAATTGTATCTACTAAACACGATTACTGGTTGTGTTCAGTAGACTCAACAGTTTTGCAATTGTTTTATGATTCTTTGCTGAGTTGCGGGATTCTTTAAACGTCTTATCGACAATTGTCGTTATCGTTAACTAGCGACAGCCAATGAGAGCTGCTCTTTCTTCCAGGATTGTACCGCCATTGGCTGTCACTAGTTAACGATATCGACAATTGTCGATAAAACGTTTACCCCGGATCTACAATAGGTGTTTTAAGTCTTAAGCCGTAAGAAATTGACCAATTACAGTCGAATCCGAGGAGAATAATCGACTGTGATTCGTCCATTTTTTATGGCTTAAGGCTTAAGTCCGGATCTACAATAGGTGTTTTAAGACCTAAGCCATAAGAAACTGACCAATTATAGTCAAATCCGAGGGGAATAATCGATTGTGATTCGCCCATTTCTTATGGCTTAAGGCTTAAAACCCTATTGTAGGTCCAGAGTTAAACTCTATTGTAGATCCGGACTTAAGGAATCTCGTAACAGATAGGACTATTCCTTTAAATCTAATAGCGAATTCGATTGGACGCACTCAGTGCGCACTGGTGCACATTAAAGCCGTCATACACAAAATAACGTAAAGATATGTTTATAAATAAACATAGAAATCGATTAAATCGTGAAATACTTAATACATTTTATCGTACTATTAGGTAAAATATGTATTTCATAATTCGAAATATTTGCATTTCATTTTTATACTCATATTAAATTAGTACAACGGCTTTAATATGCACCAGTGCGCACTAATTCTTCCAATCGAATTCGCTGTAAAAGTATAATGCAATCAGCGCGACGAATCATAAAATGATTGCAAAACTGTTTAGTCTGCTGAATGCAGCCAATAGGTCTGTTCGCGTTGCTTGCACTTTTGGCACTCGGCATCTTCGCTTTCTCTCTTTTCAAGGCCAAATATATATCTATCTCATTTTAAGTGCAAAAATATTTGGGGATTTCATGCAACGCGAACAGACCTATTGATACTCTTGGTTATGGCACAATATACAGTAGCGCAACTCTCTGTCGGCACTTTTGATGTTGATGAAGCCAAAATCGTAGCGCACATGCGCAAGTTGAGACATTACATACGGTAACGCCATCTAGACTTCTCTCTCACTTACTCTCTTAGGCTGTCGCACCCACCTTCAGTAACAGTAACCATAATGCGAGGTCTACAATAGGAGTCGTAACAGTCGTAGGGTCTTAAGTGGTAGAAAATTGATCAATCACAATCGAATATGAGAAGAATAATCAACTGTGATTGGTCAATTTTCTACGACTTAAGACCTTACGACCGCTATAACTTCTATTGTAGACCCCGCATAAGACGTACCGTAAGAATAAGCCAATCACAGTCGAGAATTCTTTTGAACTTTTAATTCTGATTGACTGATTCTTGCGTTATGTCTTATGTTACTGTAATATTAAAAAATTGAAAATATTTGTATAATATATGGTATACCTATCATATTTTTTAGGAAATTTAAATACATGTCTTCCTTCTAATTCAAGATTTCCAAAACATTCATTTATTGATTTATTGAACAATATTTAATTTTTTTTCCACTCATTTTCTTGATGTGTAATCTATTTTCTTTTTATATCTGAAACAGAGCTAAGATCAAAGTGTTTTCTGCAAGAGAATTGAAAATCTGTA